CTTAATTGTGTCTGGTAAACAAAGGGAACTTGCATATAAAATAGTGTGGTAAGGAACCTATGAATGACCAAAGAGGTCTTGGGGCTGATAGGGTTAATGTACAAAATTTAATGACAAAGGATAGACTGTACCTTTACAATAAGCTAGCGTATGTATAAACGTGGCGATGTACATGTACAAGTTGCACGTGGCGCGCTGTACGTTAATGCGCAGACCGCCAGTCTTGCGCACATAAAGGCTGTCATGTATTTGCGTGGGTTATACCGGGGGTAACAATGTGGACAAGCGACACTGGGAGCTGCCATGATGGAAAAAGGTGATCTATTATGCTGACACTGCGTGACGTCATCAGGTACATGAATATTCATGGTGTGCATAAGGAATACAGTTATGATCATGCACAATACATTACAAAGGCAGCTCACCTTTATGCTGTTTTTTGATGCGTTGATTGCCCTGGGAGCGATTTTGACGTCTGCGGAACGCTTGGTGCAAGTGGTAGACAGACAGCTAAACAGCAATTTTGAAAAAGTACGGCAAAATGGATATAGCAGCGTGTATTTTTCCCGTTTTCTGTGCGAGGAGCGTAACACATGTACACCGTGTTTTGTTCACACGTGCTCTCAATTTTCATGTAGCGAGTGTACCTAAGATGTAACTAAAATATTAATCAAAAGAGTTCATTAAGTAGACCCACAACATAATGACGTAACGAAATAGGTGGTGCATTGTGGGTGAAAGTTGCATTGTGGGCTAGTGCTAGAACTAATGGCGGAATATGAGTACAAAAAAATGGACGAGTATTGCGCCGCCCATCTGTCCATCTACAGTTAAGATTCTTTTCATCGGAAAAGAGTGCATGATGCTCTTAGACCCCCGTAGCAGGTGTCATGTACATGTATACACACCCAGTCTCTGTACATGTAACAGATTATGTAATTCCAACGCCTACAACTGTGCGTAAAGTGTACGTTCTGGACGTTTTCCGTAGGATTATGTAATGCCAAAAAGTCTATTTTAAGAAACCTATGTAATGAAAAGAACTTTGAAGAAACTAAGAAATTTCTAGACGAGTTGTAGACTATAAAAGACAGGCTCTGGCAGGCCAAGACAGGACTAGAGCGAGACAGAGACACACACACAGATAGAGAGATTTTGGGAGGCAATTCTACCGTACGTGAGAAGTCTTTGACTTGTTGACTTCTGCACCATTTCAACCTGTGGCGGCGAGTCGTCTGTGGAGCGACACTTGTAAGAAAAGTTCGTCCAGATCAAGTGAAGAGCAGAGGTGATTTTTGTTCCGGAAGAGACAGCTCGTGAACTGAATCCAGTTCCAGTTTGTGGGATCATCAAGTTCCCGTATTTGCGACGGTCATCACACCCTCGCCGTTTCGTCTCGATCCCGGTCATTGTTATTGGACGTGGTCTTCGTCCCCGTAATAGCTTACTTTGGACTGAACTGTTTTTCGTCATCTGTGGAGTCCAGCCTTGGCAAGTTCTCGCCCGTGAGAACATCTTGTTTATATGAGATATTGCTTATCATTGTAAACTATTCCAATCAACATTTTCTTTGTTGCTTTTGTAAGTGTAACATTCTCATTAAATCATACAGGTTCATTGTTTCTTATACCAGTTTTATTTAGTTTAACTGTTTTTTGGGGGAGGGTGTTGGTTTTTGTTGCATCGGAGAAGATTCAAGCTTTTGAATAATTACTATTCTTAAATAGTTGGGAGTTTTTCGGATCGTAACACATGGCATCCCTTCAGTGCGCCCATAAACCCCCTCCCCGTTTCCTGAAAGGTAGATCCGCTCCTGAATTCCTATATTTTCCCAAATGGTTCATGTGAAATGTTGTGTGTCATTGTATGTATCAAGCCCACGACGGATGCCAGAGCTGCATTTTTCAAGCTTCCACAAGACCACAAGTTCGCTCCGTCTAAAGTCTCGCGAAGGCTTGCATGAGTGACGATCATGCCCCCCTTTTTATTTCTATGTTTACTGTTTCGTTTTTCATAGCGGCTGTTGAAAAGCGAGAAACAAACTTAAAACACATTTCTGTTTGTTTCTTACCACCAAAACACGTGTGGAAGTTTCCATTTGCTTTCCGGGTCCCTGAATATCACACAATAGGGTCTGGTCCCAGCCTCGTTCCCATGGGTATGATCTTGCCGCGCCGTGTTGGTTCCCAACATACCTTGCGCAATCTTAGTGAAGGAACGCGCGAGCTAGCCCATGGAGCCGAGCTTGGTCTGGTCCCGATTGACAATGGTCTACAAAACTCTACAAAGCAAAACCAACAGAGTGAACAAACGAGGAATAATGGGAATTCCCAATGGCAGGCAACATGTGCCTCTGGGTGTGTGTGAGTTTGTTTCTGCATTCAATTGCGGACCCTGAACAATAGCGGACAATAAGGTCCCCGATTGACAGAGGGTCCCCAATTGACAACTGTGTACAAAACATACGGGTGGTCTTCTAAAAAAGTTAGAGTAAAAACCCCTCCGACCCATTTCTTGCTGGGTATATTGAAAAAACAACTGCCAAAGGATTTTTCTGTGCAGAATCAGCGTTTGACAAGGACTCTATTATGATTAATTCAGTCATTTCCCCCAATCTTTACAATTAAATTCCGGTCACCCTATTAATTAAATGGTAAAAGACTATTATAGAGCACCAAAGCCTAGAGTGCACAATCCGTATCCGCCTCGAGCTAAAGTGCACCCCAATCGGCGAAAGAAAGACAGAAGGTTACAAGCGAGTTCTTGCAAGCGTTCTGCGTGTGCGTAAAGACCATACAAGCCGGAATAAATTAGTTAAGCGTACTCAGCGTGCTCCGCGTCAAACGTGCATATACTTGCGCGCCTACGCGGTGAGTACCAAAAAACACGCCCTCTCTTGTTCCGGATTCGACGTACGCAGTACGTGCAGCCGCCATTGCCATAGTGGGCGGAAGTGAGCTAAAAGCAATCTCAACTCCATGGGCTTCCTTCAGTAACCCCTGGTCGTGTAGAACACGAAAATGACTCAGACTAGCTATTCAAGATGAATATACATAAACGTAGTCAATCACACTCGTATTTCCAAAGTTGCGCGCTCGCACCAACGTATTCTCTTGCACGTCACGCACGAGTAAATCCGCGTTGCTCATAAACACAGAGACTAAAGACCTTATTTAAATATCCCAAATAGGGTGCGTTCGATTAGCTTACACGTGTAAGTCAAACTTACACGAGAGCGTTCGTTTAGTCATCAGGGTAATTTCCTTTGGTGTGGCGATCGGCAGGGAATAAAATGAACAAATTCAGTTTTTGTCATTCCTCTTAATATTTTGGTCATAAGGTTTTGGGGCAAATTTAAATCGGCCTGTAAATAGAAATGCATTTTAAAATCCTTTTGGTGTCAAATCTGCCTTTCAGGCCGGTTCGTACTTCAAGTGAATGCGAAAGCGAAGCGAATGTGAAGTCACGACAACTTTCCTCAGAAATTTCGCCGAAGTTGAAATGTGTTGAACTTTTACCAATTCACAACGCGAATATTTAACCTGGCCCCAAATATTCAGGTATGTACCGGCCGGAAAGTCGTTTTATGCACCGTCATCGATTTTGGGAGAATGGACGAAGGGCAGCTATTGAAATTATCATTTCTTTGCTCACATTCAAAGTATCAAATTAGCCTTTGAAACCAAGACTCGTCTCGAGTCGTTCATCAGATCAGAAGACCGGAATCGAGTGAAAGTTAATCAGACTCGGAGTTCGACGGAAACTCCTGTACAAAAATATATGCAATGATATACAGTGGCGGTTTATAGCATTCATGTTAGGTAATAGACAAAACATATCTCTCAGTTTGTATATGTGGTCGGGATTTCACCTTTACGATCTTTGGTTATGGTGGTAGGCCTGTAAATAAACTGTCCAAGCCAACAGTAATAGATACATGTATCTGAACTTCAAAAAATCAGGAAAAATGCTCAAGAGTTTCTCAGGCGTTCGAGACGCACATCAAATTAGAGCATATTTGATGATTTTTCATTTTCTTTTCGAATTTCCATTTGTTACAGGCTGACTTTTGAAGATATGTTTTCCACAGAAGGTCATCACTAAAACAGCAGTCGTGAAGCCCCTCGCCATTTTGAAAAAAATCAATACCCGCACTTCTCAAATTAGACAGTTTTCAAGGATCGATTTCTTCCAAATCTCACCCAGACACAAACTGGTATTCGTTTTGGTCGGCAAAAAACTTTCTTTTCGGGAAATCTTCAAGTGCACGGGCCATGCTCTAATTCGTAGAGAATTCGAGCGCATACAAGTATTATGCAAAATATATCGGTCTGCATCCTTATGACGTCCACGTTGTGCTGCTTCCCAAGGAGCCACTGGTGCCCACGGCTCACCGATCGAGCACACATAGTATGCCGCAATCAGTAGAAGGGACCCTTGCTGTGTTTCTTTGCTAAATTATCGGACGGTGATGTAACTCGGGTATATTTTGCAGGGTGGGGGCAGGCACCTGGGGAACCTCAATCTTTGGAGGGGGCTCTCCGTGAGTTCAGTGACAGTTAAGCTGCAGTAATTTTGTCTCAAGACAATGTTTCTGCAACATTGTACTCTTTTTCATTGTATGAAAACTCTGTTATGTAATGCAAAGCAAACAGCACAAAAAGGGGCTTAATGTTATCAATGTTTTCTAGGATAACTGAGGGCGCTGTTGCTGTTCAGTTCAGCGAAAAGCAGATTGTTTCTCTTCTCTAATTCCTGAGCGGGGGCACACAACGGGGGAGGCACAGGCCTGGGGGCGCCTTTTTTATGCCACTAAAAACGGGACCCAGAGACGTTGAAAGACGTATGATATTGAGGAGCCGAGTTTTGGTTCTTTTTTCTATATACCAAACTTTATTATGTATCTACCTTCTTTGCAAACATTGTTGATGATTGGAGAAGTGGTAACGTGAACACAGACAATGGGTGCGATTTAAGAAGCAAAGATTAAGACTAACCTTCCTTGTAATCATTACTTCCTTTATTGTTATCGTTTATTCAACCAATGTAAAATGTAAAAAAACTTGACATTGGTAATTTGCTTCTTCCTTGAGCTCTTAAAGGTAAAATTTCACATAACATAAAAGGGTTAAAATATCTTATCAATTACAAAATAAATTAAAAAGAAACAAACCCAATAAGACTCCTCATATACACGTACTGCAGAAGGATAAAAACTTTCCCTGAACCGCTCGCTACCATCAAAAGTGTTAAGGCAGCAGTTGGACGGCAAGAATGTTAAATAATCTGATGCTGCATGACGTTCGTGATTCATTATGGATCTAGTGTGCTTTCGTGTTCTGATGCAATAACATACACCTGTACAACAACACCTTCCAAGCTCTAACCGCAGTAAATTACGGCCCCAAATCATCATTTGGGACGCCCAGAGTATTTGAGTTTTGACTCGGTTGGCCTGGAGAAGCGTTCTCCGGTATCATTTCTTCAAAGGTACAGGAATTGTTTACAGTAAAACAACAACGATACTACAGTGTAGTGATAATGTAACAAACCCTCAGTGATTCAGTGTCCATTTGAATTCAAACACAGAGCTGCCGTCTCTAAAGTTAATACTAAACCCGATTTGGATACCAATCACATTCATTTTTTTCAGCCCAGCATCTGTTGGAAAGTGTTGCAAAAGCACTTAATGGGAAACTATATACACGTCAGTGTGCACACTGATCCCATGCAAATCCGCCTCAGTCCAAAACTATAACCTTTGTCTACGTCAACCACAAACCAACCTTCCGTAACTTGTTGATTTTCGCGCTATTACCAAGGATAAAACTCAGATGTAAAACAGTTGGTTTCTTATGTTTCTCCCTCCAGTCTTTCGTAAGAAAATATAATTTTCCGTCTGGATAACTGTCAGGGTCAAGTACTTTGATCCGTAGGCCAGGAATGTGCTCTTGGGCAATCAAACCATTCATTATGCTCTGGTCTGTTGTCATTTTATTCCTTTTGTTGATCTCCAGTAGAAAAACCCATGCCTTTACAAACTGAAAGGTGTTTTCTGTGCACCGGTAAAAGGCAAGGCCGTCACAGAATGCAATGTTCGGGTAGGATTTCTCGTTATGCATTGCAATATCAAAGTTTCCATGAAAATCTTTGAATGGATCTTTGAACCAGAATGTATCCGAATCCACAAACAGTACGTCGTAACCTTTTTCCAAAAATTCAAGAATGTAACCAGGGCGCCTATTAACGAATTGGTTATACATAGGTGAATTTATCACCAGATGCTCAGACAACGTGATCTCAAAATGTGTTTTTTGCACATGCAGCCCTGGTTGGGAATTCTTCCTTTTGGTCAGGTATTGGTAAGACGGTTCATCTTCAGCTATGACCGTAATGTTGGGGCACGCTCCGGTTCTCTTAATGCTTTCCAGCATATTCTCAGTCAGAGCGAGGAACGCAGCGTTTGTCGTGGCCAGCACGACTGTGGTTGGTCGTTTCTCAATATCGGCCACGCTACACCGTAATGATGATGGAGCATTTTTTAAAGTGCTCACTTCCAGCCATTGAACATTGAGATATTGGTGCGTTTTGCATACACGGATTAGCAGGTAGGCTGCATATCGAAGAGAGAGAGAGAGAGAGAGAGGAGTTACAAAAACACTATGAAAAACATACTATGAATGCAATCTTGTCCAAGCAAACTTGTCATTAAAATGGTCAGTAAAAGTGACAATAAAATGGACCTACAATCACTGTCAGCGGAACGATTTCAAAGTGAGGGGGCCAGCTGTGAGACCATCAGTCATCAGCCGTTATTAAGCCGACCGACTAAGCCTCAATCCATTATAAGGAACTGCAACAGGTAGGGGGCCATCACTCCCCCCCCCTTCGAATAAGTGAGAGAGGGAGGGGCACTGGTTGCTCTGCCCCCCCTGCCCCTGATATTTACTTTGCCAAGGTAAACCCAAATCTTTATATCCACTTGGAGTAAATGAAATGTTTCAAGGTGCAAACACGAGAAGGTGCGAAAATCAACAAAATCGTGAGGTTTGAATTTGTCGTCGGTACTCTAACAACTCCCGTCCTTCCTTCAACATGTGCAGGAAACCTGTACCCACAGTAATAACTATGTAAACTGAAGCTTTACAGTCACTTCGCCCCATTTCCACGTCACCCCTCACCACTTCGCCTCCAACCACTTCGCTCCATCCCCACTTCGCCCCATAGTTTCAGCCCATTTCTACTTTGCCCCGTCCACGGCCATATACCTGGCAAGATATGGGACGGAGGGCTACCTCCCCCCCACCCTTACCTGTCAAATCCCTATACACGCTCTGGTCTATTGTTTACCTAACAATAGACCTAACTATACCTAACACACCCCCCAGAAGTCTGAAAAGAATTCCTGAGATTCCGATCAAACAATGACAAACACAAAGGCGCGGGGGGGGGTTCTCTCCGTCCCATATCTTGCTTCAAATGAAGGGCCGTGCTCGAGTATGTGAATGTTACAGGCCTCTTGAAAACATGGTTGAGGGAGGAGTTCCATAAACGACATGTAGTTACTAAACTCTACAGCATTAAATTAATATCGACTGTGGTCCATTATGGTGAATTAATTCATATGGTTGGACAAGCATTGGGTTTATTTCTCATCCTATTCAAGTATATTTCAAAGCGGTGGGCCTACACAATTATGTACGCAACGTTCTGATAATTGTCGAAGCATCCAGACTAGACAGATGCCCGGGCGCGCCGCGGCGAAAATGTTGTGGAAACATGGACGCTTCAAGTATGAGCAAAAAACCTAATATAAACTCATGAACACAGAAAACACACACATAGACAAGATACTAAATTCTGTGAATTAATTGGAAGAATTTTTGCAACATCGAGGTTTATTTCGATGCGTTGAGGTCACGTACATGTACAGGTACGATCTCCGCGGTATGAATCGACTGGTTGCTACACTCCATCACGCATTCTTTTGCATGGGTACGACGAGGCGGGAGCCAGCGCACGTGTTTTGACCAACATTGGCGACAGCAAAACGAGAATTCGCGTGAAATTAAAAAAAGGTGCTTCTCACATGTTGTAAATGTAACTGGGAACACAGGTAAACACAGGAGAAAAAGGTTGTTCTTGGGTGTTTGTGAAGACAGAAAAGAAACAGGATTTCTTTATTTGTCATTGTTACATGTATTTTTATTAAATTTGATTTCTCTATAAGTTGCCAATAAAACTTTCAGGGCCTCGCCGAAAACTTAGGGTCGGTCGGGAAATCGGAAGCATCATTGTTTTGGCCGCTTTTGCAAGTTGGATTCTCCGACCGTTATTGGGTTACTAAAACTTCGATGTTATTATTTGTTGTATTTAGTCTTAGGCCTCCATGAATACTAAAAGAACAAAATGAACGATAATCAGTGGGGCGAAGTGGAAATGGGACGAAGTGGGGATGGGGCGAAGTGGCGATGGGGGAGAAGTGGTAAGGGGCAAAGTGGCCTGGGGCGAAGTGGAAATGGGACGAAATGACCGACACCCCGTGATGCCCGTGCATTTTACGAGTGGTAGGTGAAAAGACAATGTTCCCCATCTTCCTCCGTATTGCTACTAGAAACAGAGGTGATGATACTTTTGTTGTTTTGACGCCCGTTTTCCCACTATTTCTGCAAATCCACAAAATTATTTCAACTAACAAAACAATGACCGTTCTTATCAATTAAGGCTTAATCACAGTACGATACTCTTTGTTTAATATTCAATGCACGAGATTCATTCTGTTTTTCTTACCAGAGAGAAAAAAGATGCCCAAGACGACAATCCGTCTGACAAGGACTGCATTGCAAACTGAAACTGCCATTTGTCATCAGTTTTCTGGAAAAAAAGTTTTCTTTATAAAGTGATGTAATTTTGTTCATACAGGTATCTTACGGCTGATACTAAAGGCCCCCCTACGCACACTTTGAAAGCCTATACATCCAAGGGACAAGACCTAACATGCGTTCAGCAGTTAGAATCTGGACGAGTATGCCATTGGTATTATTCCATATACAACTATGAACGCAATGTTCTCCACTTTCAAAGGGGACGGTATCAGAAATATTTAGAGAAACATCGCTGGATTATTAACCTGGTGTAATCCAACGTTTGTTAAAATTGTACGACGATCCACAAAATATCAATGCCTGTGGAAAATCGGAATGCTAATCAAATAAAAAAACGTACAGCTGTTCATCAATATTTTTAAAGTTCCTGGTCTTTTTTCACTTTCACAATGCGTTATTCTGATGTCTTGATTTGTCTTAATCCAAACAAGAACAACTGTTTGCTGCATGTGAGTATTAGGCAGCATTCGACCTACCTTTGCATTTCAAAAACCTTCTTTTTGTACTTTCCATCTATTGTAATGTAGTCAGGTTGAAAATATATGTAGAAATCTGTAGCCCATCCCGCAAATGGTTCAAGTAAATACCGTACATTTTGAGCATCAAATATGTTCGGCTGGTGTTTTAAACTAAATCATTCAATTTTGCTGTATTAATACGGCCCCATTGAACGCAAACATGCAATATCATGTGTTTGAGTCAGGGCCTTATCTCTAGACTACTGAAAGGAAACAAGATGAATTTGACCACATCAAGCCATCCCCGTCCAAACCATGTAAACATTATAAATCCCTCGTGTTGATATTTCATATTTAAAATGGACAGTATCTGCATGCACTGTCTTGGAGGTCTTGAAGTTATGTATATACAAGTATAGTAAATGGGATAGTCGTCAAATTGTTGACAAATTAAATGTTCTACACTTTCATTTATGCAAGGTTGAGGACAACTGATTACACATGTATATGTTTAACGAAACCCCCAAGGAATAGCTGAGAAAAGCACGGGTATTCTATAAAGATCATAACACATTATGCCAGAGGAAGAGTATCACAGACATATACAGACAACGCGACATCTAGGGCGAAATCAAAAGTGCAACATCATACGGGCGGCCGCAGTATTAGTGCCGTATTCGTGCGTGTACAATGTACATGTACGTGTATAAAAGTGTTGCAGTGGACAAAATCACAAGGTCATTACATGCCATGACATGCATCATGAAGGTCAGTCACAAGACTACTCACAAGTAAAGGGATGAACAATGATAAAGACATGTTTTCGTTGCAGTTCGCTTGACTTTTGAAATGGGTCACTTCATGAAGTTCGGGCACAGTTTGTGGCGGCGTCCCTTGCTACACATCGGTATTTTTTATTGTCCATTATTTTCACATTACACTAGATTAAGTCATATTATTCAGCAAAGATGAAGCACACCACTACAAGAACCTAGCAAGATTTAGAACAATGTCAATTTAGAATCCACATGAAGGGCAAAAAGATGTTTATTTTCACTGATGTAACAAGGGATGCCGTCATAAACTGTGCCCGAACTTCGTGGAATGACCCAAATCAGGCTAGAGGTTTTTGTTGGTATTGTAGGACTGTGATGGTCTTAAAAACGACGGTCCGATTGACAACACCACCGATGCAACGTAGTACGTGTTATTGAACGCGCCCTGGTGACCCAGAAGAAATCCCACTTGAATAAAAGTGGTTTACTTGCTTTAATCCACACGTCACCTGACCTGACCTGGCAAAATTACTATATGCAATCACACTTTCCCTATTCAACGCTGAAACGTGCGTTTGTAATTTGATGTATGGTTGTATTTTCAACATTATGCGAGAGACCAATCTCTTTGCATTTCATCTCGTTTCATTTTTAGATGCAGGTACACGCATACACTGAGCTCAACCTGCAGACTTACCTGCTTCCGTTTAGAACCTAAACTCTCCTTCAGTTGTCATCTACGGCCCAGGACTTGCTCTATGCCGATTCAGAAACTCTGACTACAAGGCTACTTTCACATCATGTCTGTCGATGGATACAGAATTACGAGCCGGATATGTCATGCGGTAAATAGTGGATGTTTCATGTTCATGTAGGCCAACACTACAAAGAGTGGACCCATATGCATAGTGTGGTGTTCTAAAGAGGACAGGCAAACGTCGTGTGAGTGAGTTCGAACGTCGTGTTTGTGAGTGGGCAGGGCCAATTTCATGGAGCTGCTATGCACAAACATTTGCTTAGCACAGTATTGGCTTTTCAGGAAAAACGGGTTACCAGCCAAAAATCGATGTCATTTTTATGATAAGGGAACAGCAGCTGAACACCAGTCACAAGCAATATACAACACATGAACATTTTGGTTGGTAATCTTTTTTATAAAGGGAAAAACATTTGAATGATCCATGAAATTGGCCCCGACCACTCACGAACGCCGTACGTTCAACTTCTCACAAACGCGATTCACCGTGACAAATACGGTTTGCCTGTCCGCTTTAGAACACCATACATACTATGAGACAGATATGAAAGCCACCTGTTGTAATCGATTATGTCGACGCATAGAGCTACAATGGTCGACGTAAGTGGGTGCTCTAGGTGACACGATGACCTCTCCTCGTACTTCGTGTTATAAAGTGCCGATAAAAGGGTCGTTGCATTAAAGGAAACCGCACGCACTGGACACTTTTCAGCTCAACATTTTCATGCGAATTACTCGTAACACATAAGATACAAATACTTCTTTTCATACGAATTGACAATCAGTAGTAAAGTTTTCCTTTCTTAGACAGTTCTTTCATCAATGAATACTTCTTGTTGCTTTTTTACACTTGGCGCAATTATACCTGCATATACCCACAAAGACTTAATACTAGCCATTTTGTTCAACTGAAACCCGCTGCTCTTCAAAAAGAGCCTGTAATTTTGTACAAAAGAGTTGTGAAGACTAAGTTATTCTGCGTGGTGACGTCACGCGTTGGCTTATGAACAGTGGAAATATCATCCACACTGTTCTAGTGAAATTTCTCCCTTTTACTGCTTAAAGGAGGTCGGAAGAAATAGGAACTCTGCAAGAAGGCCTTCCCACATGACTTTGTATCCAATCATGCATGTGTCCCTTGAGAAGGTCAAGAGATTTTGAAAAGCATTAAAGAGAGAACTTCGGTAATGAGCTTATACTAAATTTTAGCTCGGGAGTAACTTTTGGCTACTAGGAGTGATGTTGATGGAACACAATTATGCGCACACTTTCTGATAGATTTGTGTGTCTGCAGTTACATTTCCATTGGCTTAACTCAAGTTCCAGCAGAAGAGTAGTTAGTTATACGCAAATATATGATGGCCGCGATCGCTTGATGTATATACTCAGTCTATCGATCTTGCCAATTGCACATCTGCTGGTTTATAGTCTGTCTCAGTGTACTTCGCAGCTGTGGAAGATTGTGCTAAAAAATATGGTGTTCTATAGCCGCCAAAATTGCGTCCCGTCGTCCCGTCGTCCCGTCGCCCCTACACCACGACGCAACGCTACGACAGCTCCGTCGCGTCGTCCTGTCACGCCGTGGCGTCGTCTCCTTTCTCATTACTTTTATGCTGTGTTTAATACATTGTGTCGTGCCGTCTTTCCGTCGCGTCGTGGCGTCGCGTCGTGCCGTCGCGTGTTGTTATTTCTTGATAATGTCGCGACGTGCCGTCCGTCTTGCCGTCGTATCGTGCCGTCGTAGCGTCGCGTCGCCTGTCATTGTATGGTTTTTATGCAGTGTGGGTTAGGCCGTCGCGTCCTGCCGTCGTGCTGTCGCGTCCTGATGTCTTGCCGTCGCGTCCTGTCGTCGCACCGTCGTGTCGCGCTGTCGTGTCGTGTCGTCGCCCGTCGCATCGCGCCGTCGTGCCTGACTTTTTCTAAAATGGCTGGTGATTATTAATGCCAATAGAGGGCGTATGTCACAAGTCCAGGAAAAAATAACGTGCGCGCATAGGGGTTACGCTAATTGATTTCCATTATAAAGACTGGATAGGACATCGCGTCCAAAACTTGAACGCGTCCCGCGCGTGCATATTTTCAGGAGGGTAAATAACCAGCGTTTCGAATTTTGTTGCGGGCACTTTCAAACGGAGATCTCAAAACTGCTGGTTGAGGTTTTTGTTCTTCAATCGTCTGATTTCAAAGAAAAACTGAATCCTGCCCCCGGAATGGATAAATTTGGAAAGAATAATGGTTGAGGTGTGCGCAGCCGAGAATTGCTGGAGATCGATGGTAAAATCAAGTTTGAAAGAAGGAGCAGCTTTTTGACATGTGAGTCGCACATTCAGAAGGTTTCTGCATGCATTGTGCTATAATGCTTGGGACCGTCTGAAATATTATTTATCGGTAAAAGTGGTTTTAAAAACTGAATGATTAATTTGTCGTTTATTTTCCGCCGATTTCACTGCAAAACCTCAAAGAAAACCATGAATTGTGTATGTGAGATCTGCAGACGCACGGAACCCAAATCGTGTGATAGACGATGTGATATGAGTGACGGAATATCCATCTTCAGGGCAGAGATGAAAGTAGAGCGAGATACAGAGAGCTGACGTTTTCGTCGAGTAAAGTAACAAACAAGGAAATTCAATCAACGCAATGAAAGAAACTTTGTCTGAATTATAAAATTATTCGTTCTCAGTTAACGCTGACCTTTTTCTTTTCAGACAGTCGTTGTTAAATGTAAATCTTTAGTCAAGTTGGGAACTCAATTTTTTTATTTGGTTTATAAGTATCTGTGGTGAATTAATTACTTTGGCTCGCAGTCAAAGTTCTGCTCATTTTGTGCTCACAGAAAAGATTCTTACACTTGTTAGTTTTCAATATATCTACTCAGTATATGAATGAATTTTAGTACAGTGTTTCCTGTGAATCTTCCAAATTAGAATTAAGGTTTTTTCATTTAATTGATGAAGTTTTTCAGTGTTGACTCATTGAAACCAGACGGTCGTGGACAGTTTTGACATTATAATGTAAAACCTATTGTGGGTCTTGGAGGAACTTTAATGTTTACACACTCAACAAATCACGATTGAACCGACCCAAAGTGACAAAATTCCCCGAGCAAGACCGTTGACAAGAGGTGTAAAAATGAAGAAAAAACAAACAGAAAAAAACAGGTTAATTATCATCACTTTCGAGTGGGTTAATTAATAAGAAAATGGTCTGTTACCAATACAGCATCACATTACCCTCCTGAAACGCAGCGTGTCGCCATTGTATCGCCGCACATTTGTACACACATTCAGTCTTTATAATGGAGATCAATGGTTGCCACTACGCCAAATACGCGCCCATAATAAACAGTGCAAAATCAGACCGAAATAGCGCCGCGTTTTTTTCACTGGAAATTCAAGACTATGTCCAGAATATAATTTCAATTTTATGGGGGTTAGCCACAGGAATTTTTGTTATTCACCTTTCCCCGAAGATTCCCCCAAAGAGTAGTAAAACTATGCACTCAGCTCAGAACATAGCCAAAATAGGTCCGCAATTAGGGGCTTTTTGTGAAAGAAATACCCCGAAGTGGAAACGATCAGTCCCAGATTCGGAATTTATAGAAATGTTTCTATTATCCAGGCCTGATTATGGCATGTCTTATCATAAAAGCCCCGTGGGATCATAAAATATTAATGAGCTCTCGCCCAGGAATCCAACGATTTGGTGGAATCCACCCATAGGGCCTACAAGATTTGATCATGCAAAATGAAAATTGAACTTAACTCTGTCTCTAAGGGCGCCCCCTATTTCTACCATTAATGAGGCGACGACCAGAGTCTTACAATGCGACGGCACGACGCGACGGCACGACGCGACAGTACGACGCGACGATACCACGCGACAGCAAGACAGCAGGACAGGACGCAGAGACGTCACGACGGCACGACGCGACTCCACGACGGCACGACGTAATGCCTTATACGCAGCATAAAAGTAATGAGAAAGGAGGCGCCGGCACGACGCGACAGAGCTGTCGTAGCGTCGCGTCGTGGTGTCGGGGCGACGGGACGCACATTTGGCGGCTATAGAACACCATAAAAAAGGGAAGTAAAGTCTGAGATTTCCAACAACTTCGCGTGATGTACTGATTGACAGACTCCCGCAACATAATAAAACCTTGACATAATACGTATACAGAATCCTCAATGTTGGACATTGGACACTCCCAGAGGTTTGTACAGCAAATGTCTTATTTTTTTAGACATTGGACATTCCCTGTACATCCGATTTATGTACTAATTGGGGAGATTAATTTCCAGGATGGGAGCCAAAGGGCCTTTGGTGATTTGGTATTGTCATATTTCCATTTTCTTTTTTTAATCCTCAATGTTAACAGTTAACTATGCTAGGATACTTAGAATTTTCTGAATTTTGCTATCGTAAATTTTGCATTGCCATGTGATAGTAATCTCGTTTTGAAACATTTGGCATAAATATTTCAGTAACCAAAGTAAAGTTGGGTTCACAGTCTAAAAAGAAAATTCTCTTTCAACTTGAACAGCGCTCCTCGTTGTCCGGACAAGTTACAGCACATTCAGAGGTACACATTCAACTTAATTTACTACCAAAATTCTTAACAAAAAATTCATGATCCCTGTAAGAGAATTTTTAAAGCTAATAGTAGGGACTTCAATTAACTGTAAATTGTCACCCACCTGAAGATTGATTTTGTTAAAATAGTCATTATCTTAAAAAACGTTTATTCGTTATTAATTTGGTACTGATTCTTAGAACAAAAGCAAAATTGTTATATTAGATAACTATCTTGAAAATTTGAGGCAATTTTTGCATCCATTAATTTTTCTAACTAATACATATCAATAAATATCGGCTTTTTGTGGAATAAAGTTGTTTTGTATAATGTACTTGAGACAGAGCTCGATTCAGGGTTCTGCAGGCCTCAGCAATTAGGGCTCTGTTCAGGACCAGAGGCTACTGTACTTCTCTTGGAATTAACAGCAGTCATCATGCATCTCCTTGAAAATTCCACAGTTGTGAATGACATTAACATGCACCCTAGACCTGAAATGTCCAATATGGCTCAGCCCAGTTCTTGGCAGCCATTATTTTTGTATATGTCTGACCTTGTCTTCTGAATTCTTAATAGGTTAATGTAAATCATGTTCTTGAGCCGGCTTATCAGCTACGGAAGGAAAAATGGTTTTAATAGTCGTAATCTTTTGACCACAATAATTTTATAGGCCTTTCTATTATTTATGGAAATTTTATGCACCGGAACTGAAAAGGAGGCAGTAGGGGACTCCGCGCTGTCGGCGATGAAGCATTGCTCAGTGTCGTGTTGTAGCAGTCACGAACGAAGATCATCCGATTCGCCAGAAATTATAAGCTTTCATCAATTTCCAAAGGACAAAATCCTGCAGAAAAGCGGAATGTTCAGATCAAACGAGACGAGGGGCATCCAAGGTAGATTTTGACTTTGAAACGACTTCTTTGGGCACTTAAGATATTCGTATAAAAATCGTAATCATGCACGAAATTGCACTTTGGTGCAGTTCGATTGATCCAGTCTTTCCTTCCTTATGATTGATTGCACCAGCATAATGAAGTAATGGCTGTCATTTTCGAATTCGCATCTGTAGAACTCTGAACCTTGGAAGGAAATAGCCCAGTCATTAAAGGCAACCTACTGAATTATGAAGGACAAAAAGTCTTCAAACTAGGCCTACTCGATTGTGGCGACAACCGGCTGTTTAGGACTGTGGTGCGTGTACCGTCAACAAAAAGTACAAGATAGCAGGTTATCTCGCGTCGGGAACCACGGAAAGATCCCCTCGTGACCCGCGAGTCCCCCAGAACCTCGTTTTCAGTCGTTTTGAATAAAATTTGCATAAATATAAAGAAAGGCCGATTAGTTATGTTACAAAGTAGGAAATCCGTATAAGACAACGTAACAGACAAAGAATGGGAAAGGAACACTGGAATGACATGATGATCTGAATCAAAGAATTTGCTCAAAATAAACTTGAAATTAATTTACTTATTCAATATTACCAATTAACACATAAACTGAATTAAATGAAATGGATGCGTAAAGAAATAAATTAAACAAATCATGGGTTGGCCGTTGTGAGGGGAGGTACCTCCATCCGATCCTGCCGAGGACCAAACGAATCCGAAGACGCGGCAGTTCGTATTTGTTTACAGCAATTTCCGACGGGAGCGGGGGTGGACGATGCTGACCAGTGGGCGAGGTCTAGCACTCGACAGACGACATTTAGTGGAAGGGCGTGGCACCGGCTAGAAAAGTATGACAAAGACCACAGTTAGTAGTGATAGAATGTGTTCTTGCCGGCACTGCAACGAAAAGGTGGTCCAATGCAGATGACAGGGAGGCATGATGATGCCGTGCCCCCATGCAAGGAGAAAATATCCCTGCTTGTCCACGCCCAGCAAGCTGAAAGCTCAGAAACCGCCAAGGGATGAAATTCAAACACTTTTAAGTCCGGTAGAAAATTCCAAAGTCCCTAATTCCACTGGTCAAAAATGCGTCAGACTACGGCGCGGGAGCAAACAAAATCTCATTTCGTGCTCTACGAGCGTGATAACGAATTGATCTTCAAGCCAAAGACATAGAAATAGATCTATGTTTCAAGAAAACTTGACTCGCAAATCGATTGGCCCACTTAATTTGCATAACCTTCGCCAAACTTTATATTTAACGGGTTCTTAACAGTTATTAAAGAGTGCAAGTGGAACACACAATAATTTTGTGCGTCTGTGTCCGGCCCATACCACCAGGCCGAAGGTCGAGTGCATATCATGCAAGATATGGGATGGAGGGGTATCCCCCACCTGTCCAATCCCTATACACACTCTAGACTATCGTTACTTAACACCCCCCCCCCCGAAGTCTGTAAAGAATGCCTGAGATTCCGATCAAACAATGACCAACACAAAGGTGGGGGGGGGTTCTCTCCGTCCCATATCTTGCTTCAAACGGCCAAGGGTAGCGGCCTACGCAAATCCGACGGGACGCCACTCAGAGGGGGCATTTACACCCACGCACCTGTATCAACCTGAGCGTGCGCACGCACTTTGGTAATTCAAGGACGCGGAGGAACTTCACGAGCGAGCACCCGGCCTCGTAGTAATTGCTTCTAATTTTGGTCGTAGGATTTGTCTATTCGGGACACAGACGTACTACATCACTCCGTGTTCTACAAGCGTGATAAGGAATTTATCTTCAAGCCATAGATATTGTGCTTCAAGAAAACCTGACTCGCAGAAAAGATGTCATAAGGGCCTATGCGCGCAAACGCACCACCTTTAAACTTAAAGTAACGTTTACAATTGTGTGGTGTACTTTTAGCGTTCCACATTTCGTTGAGAATAATTCATTGCACGGGGTTTGATATAACCGTGCAATACATTGTATATATCACAGTATTTGTTGCCATGGATCCACCAATCAGAACTGAGAATTCCAGTTTGCCTGAAGATAAGATGATTTGAAGGCTTCAAAATTCAAAAAGAGACACCAAAATTTAAAACGTGCTTTACGTCACGCTGTAACAGAAACTTTTAGAGTGTAATTCGACACCCAAATATAGAAGCCTGACTTCGGTAGCACAACGCTCGTGGACAGGTTGTAAGCGCGCGTTACATGCCTCTTCGATCAATAGGACGTTAGGATTTGCCCAAAGCATACGAGCGTCAAGTGAAAAATGTAGGCTTACATGTACGTGTGGGTGCTGTACCACAGCAGTTACGGCGTATATTTTCGGATTACGTTTTTGTAGGCAAATGTGGACTGGTCCCCGTCCCTATTGGGACCGGCCTGGCTGTGCAGTTTAACGTGTGCGACTGGATGCTGAATATTATTTTGTTTCTGTCAGGCCATTTTCAGCACTGCTTTAAAATGAAGTACATTTCAACGGAAAGGTGAAAAAGGGATATGAAGTACGTATCCTTGCTAAGCCTCTGTTGATCACTGTGTAGTAATTTATTTTTGAATGGTTATCATCGGTAAATCATTTTACGGCAATTTATTTCAAATCAGTGGTTTTTTTAGATAAATGAACAATTTATGGTGAAGTTCCATGTATTTTCGGTAACGAAGAAGAAAAAGCAAAATATTCTATCAGCTCCTATTTAATTCGTTCATTGAGCGGGTGTCGTTTCTGATTTTTAATACCGGTCCCCACGTTCGGAGGAAGTGTGTAAGACACCTGGAGACGTCGAGGATGGGAACCCGTCTAAGGCCCATGGCAAAAAGACGACGACCCTCAGAGGAGAAGCTCTTCGGATGGCTGTTGTCCTTCAAAACATTAACCGTAGTATGAGAATTTTAAAAACCCTACGACAGATTGTGGGTGGAAATGAATTTTCCTCTGGTCATTTGGGTTTTCCAAAATGTCGTAGCCGGGGGGGGGGGATATGCCCCCCTCAGAAATTGAGATGGGGGGGGGTTGGCCCGCCCCCTCCCCGGGCCCCCTTGGCTCACTGGCTCGCACAAATCAAGCAAAATTAAGTCAAATAGTGGCTTACGAATAAATATGATGTGGTCATTTTTGGAATTACGGCAATAACAGTTATATTCAACTTCCCAGTTTAAAAGTTCAAATCACGTAAAAACCCAAAACCTCAGAATGAAAAAAAAAACCTTTTGGGCAAAACGTGGCTCAAGCTAGAGAATAGACAAAAAGTGGTTATTATGTGATTTTTTGTCTATGACTGCAGCTCAGCTACGCCTATGACTGTAGCTCAGTGCCCCAACGTATAGGGACTACAAAAGAGCCTGGCCATACGCTGCTGGTTTCCGGTTTTTTGCTGCGATAAGTTTTCATTGTTCGTGCGAATTATTTAGGCCACTGCTTCAAACGTCAAAATTCCACTGTGCCGAAGTCGAAAAACAGCCAAATAGCATTTTTTTCATCCTGTGCAAGATTCCCCTTCTGTGTAGGTGTGTAGGCCCCCCTAAGCCCATTTTCCCCCGAATGTCCTAGTTTTTGTAGTTTCCATATATACCTGAAGACTATAATTAGGTTTTTCCTTTTTGCTGTTTATCATCCACGTCCCTGTTTGTCCTTATCAGGCTATGTTCTTGCCCTTTGCATGGTATACCAACCAACGAACTAGTCATTTTTATGTGCGAGCTAGTTCCATATTTTTCTTCTTGAACTTGTATTTTATGTATTTCTAAGCTACAAATGCGAGTGGGCATCTGTATCAGGTTCTGTACAGTGGAGCTGCCCCGCGGCCCACTCGATGAACTCCATGGGTGAACCCACGTTGATGGAAAAAATCGCGGGAAATTTCCTTTGCCCTAGTCATTTGTTTCGTTTCATTTCATTGGCTCGCCTTCACCCTTGATGTATTCTTAAGCCAATCATTGTAGATTTTACGTGCTTGCAACGCCATATTGCAAATCTGATCAGAACGTGAGTTTTGCACAACAGGTAAGGTAAACCGGACAAAATGATGAATTATCATCCTAACATCCCTGTATTTTAGTTTATTTGTCTAATTGCATGTTGATGTTGTAAATTAATCTTTTTTATGAACCTACAGAATGGAAATTTAAAGACGTTGAGGCTTTCATCTTATAAGTTTTAGGCGTAAAAAGAAAAGCCGAGCGTTCATCGTGACGTTCACCGTGTTCATTGTCACAATGTGATTAGACAACGTGAACATGACGAAATTGCGTTATTTCGACATGTTCAACATCAGAACATGCATGCTCGGAATGTCACACGAGGGTTCTGACTCCGTCGTTCCTACATGCATGGTAGCGAAGTGCATGGTAGCACAATGCCAAGTGGGAAATACATGTAGGCCTAACGTTGCATGCTGAAGCTGACACTGTCTCAGTGTCTATTCCTCTATGGTCTGACTGTCTGAACATCTTGAATTTCATGAATGAATGTCTCCTTTCATGAATCCATGATAAGATGATTGGGGCTTAGTCCTACATGTATGTTAGCCATTATTACCATGGTTGGTTTAAGGACATGAATCTTACTCCCAGCATTTGCAGTTTTGCGTCTTATGATGACTACCGGTGTGGTGGTCATCATGATCATTAATCCATGCATAATAAGAACACAAGGACTTCGAACGACCTGCCAAGCCCCCACAGGTTATTTACTGACCAATTAACGCCCCTCATTGACCAGTGGTAAAGCAGTGGAGGCCGCCTGCTGCGTGACGGATTTACAACAGCGATATATCTGATAAAGATTTTTTTAGCACAAGGCTGGCTGCCGAACGATGACCGTTACTGGAGTACTGCTTGTTCGTACGTGATATTGTCAACGGGAGTTCATGACAACAAACACACATATTTTGCATGTGCATGTGTTCTTATTCCTCCATGATTAATCTGATTAGTGACCATCAATGACCGTGATTAGTAATCGTGGTCATTGATGGTCAGACGTGTTGTCATGATTGGTGGATAGCCCGTCATGCCTGTACACTGTCCACTAGGGCCATGGGTTGTTCTAAAACCCCCTCGGCCCACGACCCCACAACCCCCCCTCGATTCACAGCTTCACTTTTGGTCATGTAGGCCTAATACTCGCCGCTGATCATGAACGAGATCTCGTCTCGGACTCTCGCGCATCAATTTCTGCGGGGAAAATTGCCCGACCGTGGTCGGGTAATTCTTTTTCTAAGAGGGTTAGGGGCAATGGGCATGATTAACCATGTTACGCCCCAACTGTAGCATCTGCCCCAACAATAGCTGGGACAGTCCTAACTGTAGTGCTACAGTTGGGCTGGCCCAATTATTGTTGACTAATTTTTGTAGAAACTTTCTCAACCTTATTTAAGTTAATGCATCTCACACTCGACACAAGTCAGCTAAACTGTGGCACTTCGTCTGTGACATTGTAAACAATATGACTTTGGAAAATGCTGGGCACATGCACACCAGACCTCTGTGCTGTAGTTTGGAAGACCCAACTTGAGCACTCAACACATGTAGTTGGGACGGGCCCAACTATAGTGGGACTGATGCTGTAGTTCGGGCTTAACAGCTACAAGCTCAATCAAGAAATTTATTCAGCAGGCCTAAAGAAAATAAAGTTCTAAGGTAAATGTCAGGCTTTACTTTCCTATAATATAAACATCCTCCAACCAACTAAACTGTAATTCACGTATTGGAATCTGCACCTTACCGCTTATAAGTCTAGTGCTCTTCTAACTGAGCTACCGTGCAATTTGGCCGAGAAAGCAATTTTGTTGTATTTTATTTTGAAAAATTCATCCACCCCATTTATGATGATTGCCCCAACCTTCCTATGAAAATACGCTTGTGCAGTGGTGCAGATACGCACATTTGATAACAATAACCTGTCACCCACATCCCAATCGCCACATGGCCAGCCTGATTCGTAATCAGCACATTCATCAGTACATTAACAAAGCACGAGTCGCACATGTATCTTGCGTAGCCATGACCCCGAGTGCATGCATCACTTTTTAATAACGTTGATGTTTCTCAAACTAGGGAAACGATGAGTAACACAGTTCTAAAGCTCTCTGTTTGAGTTCAGGTACCCGTTAATCTGTTTTTTGAAGGATTTGAACGAAAGGTCGAAGGGGTCGAGGGGGTTTTAGAACAACCCTCCACAAGGCTACTTCCATATCCGGCTTTAGTGGAGACAAGACAATGGTAGAATTCAGTAAAAAAGGGGCAAGCAGTCCATAGTCAGTGATAAAGCTTCCTGCATCATGTGCGTGTTGATTAAGATGTCGGACAACTCCACTGTTTGCCAACTCGACTTCAGACAACTTGACCATTTAAGACATCTTCGACCATTGAAACAACTCGACCGTAGAGACAACTCGGCCATTTGCCAAGTCGTCCATTAAGACAACTCGACTTTGACAGAGAGACAACTCGACGACCAATGAGATCTCTACGCATAATATAGTTGTTTTCCCTGTTCCGGATCACGAAAATTATTCAGTCAGATTGCAGCTACAAAAATCCTCAAAATCCAGTGAAATTTGGTCCGTTGTCCACCTTGTGTGTTAGAGATACTACCAAATTAATTTCAAATTTTAGACTTTTAACCCTCCTTTGGTTTTATAGCACCAATATGCACAAATGCCCACAGTCACTGGTGAGCATGTATTTTCTATATGAAACACAAACATGCACAGGTTCAGTGTGTGCACAGTTGCCAGCACAAAATGACCCAGGGTCTTT